GCCGAGCTGCTGCACGGGCTGGGCGCGCTGCTGCTGCACCACCGCCCCGGTGCGCCCGGGGGCCTGCCCTCCTCCTGCCCCGCCCCGGCACTCGGCAGCGCGTCCCAGGGGCTGCTGAGCGCCGCCCGGGAGGGAGGTCAATGGCGGGCGGGGCGCAGTGAAACGAGCATCGAAGGGTGGAGCCGATTCATACAGCGGTCCCGGGGGCTTCCGATGTGGGAGCGTGTGCTTGCTTCCTGAAGGGAAGTGTCGCACCCTAGGTCCCCAACCGAAAGCACGGCGGCGCGCTGGCCTTGTCACGGGCACAATAGGGCTTGTCTGGCATGTTGTCACGGGCACGTTGGGGTTGTAGAAACCGCCCAGAGTAGACTCAAGCAGAGCTGGCAACCCTCCCGTGGGATGCGCTGCCCTTGGTGCCACCAACTCAGTTTTGACTTTGAGACCTGGGCCAGGGGACGGTTTCATCAGCCCTTAGAGGCTTTGGGTTCAGTTCATCGACGCAGGGCTGCGGTGCCAGGACCTGAGCCGTACGTGTGTCTGGGCCTGCGCAGGCTGGGCTTGCAGGGCATTCTTCATGGGCTCGCAAGGTTCAGGATCCTGAAGAAACATCTTTACGTGGCTCTTCACGCTGAAGTTTCACTCTCTTTCTCACTCAGGTGCTTTGTGACTTTGCATGCAAGCACCCAGGCAGGGTCAATGCTGGCAGTGTAGAGCCTGTAACAACCGACATGTCTCCTGTGGCAAAGGGAACTTGAGTAACGCCTTCCGGAGCGAAGAGGTGAAATCCAGGTCCTGGTGAAGTCCACGTGCAAGTTTTGCCACTGACTTCAGGAGGGCCAGGATTTCACTCCCACCTGGAAGTGATGTACAAAATAAGGTCAGGCACTATAATCAATCAAATGTGCCAGAGAGCAAGCAGCAGTTACTCAGACACCTTCTGTTGTACTTGTAATATGGACCATAGTCTGACAATAGAGTTGGGTCAGTTATGTGTTTCTAGCACAGGGGTCAGCAACCCCCAGCACGTGTTTGCTTGGCACGCGTGCCTCGAGGCAGACAGCGGGAAAGGGGCTGGGGCTGCACTGCCACACCAAGGATCGGGCCCCTCATGGCTCCCGCGTCACCAGTCTATGGCACACCAACATCTTTCAAGTCCAGGTTGCAGGTGTTTTTGATGCTTGGCCCAAAAACATTGCCAACTCCCGTTCTAGCACATTTTGGAGGTCAGCATAGGAACCTCTTATTTATTGACCATCTTTTTAAATAAATACTGGTTAAATCACCCCCTTGCTACACACCCGAATAGCCAACTGTTTACTATATATACATAAAAGGAGACTGCTTTCAGTGACTCAGCTGTTCCTCGATAGCTTGTTAGCACTGAATCCAACGAGACATAACATCACCATCCTGGTCCAGAGCTATACACGATGGTGTTTTGGCCATAATGAGACTGCAGTTCCTATCACGTTTATGTAGATTAGAAGGAATATTTTATGTTTATGAAATTGAAGACTGAAGTAGTAATTTAGATGCATTAGATTTGATTGTAGTTTCACCAACCTTATACTAAAACAAATCTAGTTGTCTTTGGTAACTGGAGTTACTTTTGTGGTACAGTAAACGCAAGTTGGAATCCAATCAATCATAGACCATAGTCAAATGCTGACATATTTAGCAGTTTAAAAATGCAAGAGACTAACACGTGTTGTCTCCTTTATTCTCTTACAGAAAGACCAAGAGAGTTTTTGATCCAAGCACTGGAAAGAATAAAGCTTGCAAAACGAACTGGTGTGGATTATCCCTATCTTATGGACGAATCAAATTTAGAAGCTATGTTTGAGATGTTAGACACTGCAAGTCAAGGCTATATAACACTGGTGCAGTACAAAGAAGGTTAGCCCTTCTTGACTTATCTTTTACTTAAGAAAAAGCAGTATTTTTATTTACAAATTAGAACTTTATTAAAGTACATTTGATGGTATTACATGCAAGACTGTTGCAGAAAAGCAGCTGAAATTGTTCCACTCAGAGAAAATTCTGACCTCTATAGACTCTAGCTTTGACAAAAAGTAACTTATTGCAAAAAAATCCTTAAAGGTTTTTAAGCAAGTCAAAATGTAGCACCTTTTGACATGGCACCTACCATTGAGCCAAAAAGGTCTAACAATTCTCATTATAGAGTTCAGCAATTTTTTCCCAACTGTAACAAAGGTCTAAGGCTATTCTAAATGTAAAATTAAAACTCATTCTTTAAAATCTTTGTAGCTCTTAAAACCTTGGGGCTAAGTGCTCAGGATGTGTCTTATGAAGATGGCACAAATATCACACTGGAAATATTCAAGGAAGAAGTGTAAGTGAATGTTTTTGTCATTTGGGTTTTTTGTGGAGGAAAGAGAAACCTGTGGTTGATCTAAAGTTCACCTTTTTTCAAATGCATACATTTTTAACTCCATTATGGTATTTGTGCATTTAAAGCTATATTCTAAAAAGGTACTCCATCTTTGCTGTTGTTCTGGCAGTGGTCAGATTTCCTAGGACAGGTCAGCTGTTTTGCTTCTGTTCCTAGTATAGTGTGTGCATTTTTTCTGTCATCCGTAAGGGCACGGGCATGTGAACACTTACTGACTTCATGGTAACGTGTAGGGACTTGCAGAACAGACCTTGCTCCATGGTAAATACCGATGGGACAAGCTCTTACCCTATAGTAAATGACAAGTAACCTGTGGTGGATCATCCATTAATCACAAGGAAAGAGAGAGATAAAGCTCCAACCAGAGTCTATGTAGAATATCAAATTTGTTTTTCTTTTGTTTCAGGAAGAAAAAGATGCTGGCGAGCTGGGTAGTGTATTAGTATCAACAACTATCGTGACTATTTCCCTAAAGTCTCATTCTTATGTTTTATGGCCTTTAAGGTATAGATAATCTCTCTCATCCAAAATATATTCTTGGGCTAATAGAGTAGCATCAGTACAGTACACAAGAGGTTTTTTGTGCCAGCTTTAACAGAGGAGTCACTAAGACAAATTTATTCATCCTCACCGTACAGCTGAAAGCCAGCTTTTGAAGGCTCCTTTAGTTTGAAAGATATTGTCAAAATAAGTAGTGTATAAAAACATCCTTTCCCAACAAAGCCATTGTTCTGAAGCCTCAATGATAACCAACTCCTCTTTGACAAAGTACTGCCGAGTTACAATCCTGGCTCACCATATATAATCCTGCTGCTATACAGAAATTTTTACAGCATGCAACAGCAGCAGTTATATAGCACTGAATAATATTTAACTTTTAAAATGTCAAATTTCTTTCAAACCTCTTGTGTAGAAACAAAAGCTGGTTTAACATAAGGAAGATGCCTGCATTTGAACTTAGGCAATTTCAAATAAAAAGATTATTAACAATTACAACTGTCTCGAGGCTTTTTCTTAAACAAGCGGCAAGACACAAAACGCACAGTTATAAACAAGCCTGTAGAGGCCTTGGACACTTCTAGAAGCAGGTGGTCAAAAATGCCCAATGACTAGGCTTAATTTCAAATCATCAGAAAGCAAACACATGACTCCACTTTATTCATAAGTCTCTGCATGCGCATATGGGTATGCAAGATCTATGTATGCAATTCCCAACCCGTAACTTTCCACGCATCAAACCAAATCATGAATTCATGTGGAATGTGTCTAATATATGTGCTGTCTACTCCATATTCTTTGCTAAGCCGTGAAAACATTTATGTGACCTGAAAGCAATTATCTACTATGGAGACCTCTAGGTTAACGAGAAATATATTCTCATCCCCATCATGTAGATGCCTCTACCCCAGGGCAGCTATACACAGAGAACATAGTCAAGTCTGTTTTAGTTTCTTTGAACTGTACTTACTGAACTAGAAATTAACTCAATTTTGCAAAATTTGGGAAAAAGTATATATGCAATATTTAAAAACTAAGGCATAAAACTAGATCAAGCCAATGTGCTTTAAGTGTAGAGTAGCAATTCTTTAAGAGTAATGCAAAAACTATATTAACATAATACAGTTTGGTTTAATTGTTATTTCAATAAATAATCTGGACTAAACATTTTAATAATCATTTTATGAGATGTTTACTTATTTTCCTGTATTTGGCCAATTTGTTTTCAAATTAAGCAGTATCTCAACATCCTGCTGTGCTAATTTATAAACTCCAAGTTCATTTAAAGCTGCTGTGGCAGATGGCTGGTTTGGATTTAAGATGGTTCCATTTTCTGAGGCTGACTCTAGTACATCCTTCAAAAGCAGGGCAGAGCCAATATTTAGATTCAAGATAATGCAGGCTTCTTTTATGCTATGGGAGGGAAAAAATACAAGTTTTACATAATGATACAAGAAATGTTTACTTAACATGGGATCACAGAACAAGCTACTTCACTAGTGTGAGCGGAGTCATTAAGTAAATGACATCTTCTTTTGACAACAAGAAAGAAGGAATCTTGAAGAGGAAAGATATCACAACTTATGTCAAGGCAAATAATAGCTGTCATTCCCCCTCCCCATTACTGGTACACTGTGGACCAGATCCCATTCAGTCTGCTACACATTCAAACTTATTCAGCTGCTCATTTAAAAAAATATGCATCTCGTCTCAGCAAAGAAGAGTGATCCTTTTCTATCTAGAGGAGCACATTTCTTGCATTCTCTCATAGGGCAGCTTTGTGCAGCGTCCAGAGCCTGTAAACACTGAACGTGGAATATCCTACAGACTACTAACAAGAAATGAATGGGACAGAATATGTTTGCCTCCCATCTCCTGAGTAACTGATTCAGAGCCACATGTTGAAATATTAATGCTTTATAAACTTGCATACTTACTGTTTGAAATAGTTTTCTGGTCTCTTGCAATAGTGTGAAAATAAAGGGAACAGATTCCTACTCATATCAAACTGGAGTTGTGCTGCTCCTCCTTCATTGAAGTAATTCGCCAAAATTATCTACATTAGTAGATGAGAAAATACTAACTTAACAGTGCAAGTCACTTTCACCTTCACACTACTGCACAGATTACATCTCTGCAGAGACTTACTTCCTGATAGATGAACATATCCACTTTCTCCACAAGCATTTGCCAGAAGATTTTAAACAGTGAGTGACACAGCTGCTGTTCTAGCTGCAGCAAGCGGTCTCTTAATGTCAACAACATTGGGCAAGCTGTGCTGGATAAGGACATTACTGCCTGCTCCGCCTGAGATGGCAAAGATAACCACCTGCACAAAACAGGTGCACAATGAAAACTGTGTTATCATACAGTTATTCCTGGGGAAGCAACCAAGATGAAGCCTGTCTTTTATAAAAGTCAACTGCACACAGATTTATCCAATATGCTCAAATCCAACACAAAGTTTTTTACCCTATTCAACATGGGAGGGGGAAGGGGGAAAGAAACCTTGTCTTGGATTCAAGTACTATCCTGGGTCAAGCAGCTTTAGCTCCAGACCTGAAACCTGGGGCCAGAACTGTCGCTGCTTCTACTGCCTGGCTGCTGGCTCATGGTAGGAGGCACACAGTGGGAGGTACAGGGAGACCACAAGTGGTACAGCGGGGACCATGGGGAGATTGTGGAGCAGCAGAGCTGCTATGCATCTGGCCCAGCCTGGAGCTGGGCTGGGGCTGCCATCACTGCCTGCCCCAGACTGGTGCCACCATGTGTATAGGGTAAGCAAGAGCAGTGAGGGGGGGGAGGAGGGCAAGTGACAAGAGTCGGGCTATGTCTCACTGCCACTTCTTTCCCT